GAAGGTCAAGCTTATTGTGGACTTGCTGGTCTCAAAAATTCAAAATAGTTTGCGCAAGTGGCTTGGTCTCGCCAACTACTAGCACATGTACAGCAAATATTATGCGGAAATGGCACGGCCATTGTCGAATCACCGAGCATTAAGGGCTTTTAATGTAGTCAAAGACAGCCTCCTTCCTGCACCAATACTGGCGTTGTCAGACCCCAATCGTCCTTTTCGTGTCGTCTGTGACGCTTCGGACTTTGCCATCGACTGTGGACTGCTGCAAGCAGACGCCGAGGGGCAAAATCGGGTAATCGTGTTCGAATCTCGCCAGCTCAAGGCTGCTGAGAAGAAAAACTAAGTCAACGACAAGGAATTACTTGCGACAATGTACTTTATATTATGCACTTTTTAAGTTCAGGGTTCGCCTACTCGACTCCAAGCCGTTCGTGATCGACAACGATTACGCGTCACTACGCACTGCGATTCAGTAGCCTCACCTCAAGAAGAGGATAGCCAAGTGGCTCTGATTCTTCGCAGAATATAACTTCAAGGTGAAGTATAAGCCAGGAAAGTAGAATGCTTTGGCTGATGCGGTGTCACGCAGACCCGACTATGAGATTGCTCATGTCACGACAGTGGCGTCGTCCGTGACGGAATTGATCCGCACCGCATATGCGGGTGAGAGTATGTGTGTAGCGCTGCTACAGGATCTCGGATGCAAGGAGTTTGGAGACTCGGACAAGAAATTGTCGGCGCGTTTGCGCGCCCAATTACATTGATATTCGTTAAATAACGGGTTGCCATATAATTTGCACCGACTCAATTGATACGGCACGAATGGCGGTTCCTCGCGATGAGGATTTGAAATACCCTATCTTTTACGAGGCCCACGACACCCCACTCATTGGTCATCTCGGTCGTGAGAAGACGTACAGCTCGGTGAGTTGCCACTATTGGTGGCCCAAGCTGTACAAGTGGACGAGCACATATGTGAGCACGTGTGAAACGTGTCAGAGGGTGAAACCCTTTTTAAATGCGGCGCCGCCGCTGGCAAGCCTAACGGTATCCTCCGGGTGTTGGCAGTCCATGAATATGGACTTTGTGTTAGGCCTGCCGAAGGTTTCAGCTGGCAACACGGGTGTAGTGGTCTTTGTAAGCAAGACGCGGCAAAGCCACCGGACGCTATCGACGGTGCGGGTTACAGCGACGCTTGCTTGTCGATCGTGTCTCGTCGACAACATGGACTTCCGTGTGTCAATTGTTTCTGATAGAGACCCGCGCTTCGCTGGGTAGTCATGGTCTGCAACCTTCATATTGCTGGGCACCAAGTTGACTATGTCAACAGCGGACCATCCGCAGACTGATGATCAAACTGAGCGCGTGAATCTCGTCTTTAAGGACTTCTTTGGCAGCGTCTGCGCTGAGACGCCTAAGCGCTGGGGCGGGGCGCTTTTTATAAACTCGTAGTGTTTGCTCTCAATAATGTTGCGAATTCATCTACCGGCTATACACCGTTCTACGTGAACGACCTTATTTTTTCTCGCGTCCTGCTCCGAGGCTCAGGGCTTGGTGGGGGGGGATAGCCGAACGGATAGCTGATGTCAGCCCCGTGCGTGAAGAAGTCGAAGACTTTCTGTCTACCAGACTGAGTGCCTTGACTTGCGATCGGCGTAATCGCCAGCCCCCGGGTCACACCTATTGGTAATGGCACGTTCGCGATGCGATGGCTGAAAGCCAAGACATGCAGAAGGAATATGTAGACGAAAAGGAAGAATAAATGCTGAAAAACTTGAGGCTGAAGACCTGCGGTTTTTAAATGCTAAAAACCTTCCTACACATGCAGTGTTTCCTGTCTTTAAGACGAATCTCGTCCAAGATTTATCGGGAATTTTAAGGCCGTGGCCAAGTGAGGCCTAGCGTATGCGTTTAACCTTCCAAGAAGGATGCGCATTCTCCCGGTGTTTTATGTGGGCTTGCTTAAGCCGTATTGGGATCCGGCGCAAGTGAACGCGGAAGCGTTGGCGCCGGGGCGGCGCCCAAAGGCACTCGGCCACCCAGAAGATGAACCAGCAGCTGGTCCCGAGCACGGAGAGAAACAATTTCCGTTTCCAACGGCGCAAGGCGCTTCACCGCCACACGAAGTGACGTATTCGCCTGCTCGATAGATCACCGACAGAGCGCGGTAATCCTCAGCGTGAGGCGGTTGGTGCACAAAGTGGTCCAGGCTCTCGAGGTCTTCCGCACAGTGGTAGGCGACCTCGGAGAGATGCTCGGCGAAATGCCGATGACTTCGGACTTTGTCCTCCAAAGCTCGAAGAGCACTTGTGATTGCAAATGGAAAACATACAGTATTACTTTTGTGTAATAAATTAGATCTCAGATGTATCAAAGTGGTGTTACTAGTGAGAACGAAATTTTTTTTATCAAGAGGTCCTAGACATACATCAAGCAAAGCAGTTTACTTTGTTATTGACACAGTACTTTCATTATATATTATATAGTAAATCTGATTTCAGTAGTCTGAAAATATACCACTCTTGAGCTGGAAGAGCAAAAAGGTTCTAGCAAGTTCTTCGTCGCATAAGTTGTCTACTTAAGTGTCACGCATTCCTTTCATGACGAAACTTTGGGTGATGAAACCAACCTCTGCTAGGAGCCGGCTCTGATATAAACCTACTATAGCCTTGACGCATGACATACTGTATCCAAATTAATATTGTTTGGTTCCTTGTGTAGATCTAAGAAGGCAGAGCAGCAGTTATCAGTGGTCTCAGGATTAGAAAGAGAAAGGCAATCGTAAATTGCAAACTCCAGAGTACATTTCTGCTAAGACAAGACTAAACGAACGTCTGACAGAGTATCTGTAGCGGATCGTCCGTCAGGACCGTGTGTTGCCAGTAGAAGGCTAAGTTCTTAAATTAGTAAGTAGGTTGATTCTTGCCACGATGTCAAAATTGCTTTCGCGTTATCCCCACCAAAAGACATTACACGTCGAAGTAATGCCGTCGCCAATTGATGAGGTGATATGTATAGCGGACGAATATGTCTCAATGAGCGTTGCGTTGACAGTTTGAAAAGCATTTTTCCGAGCTCAGATACTATTTATCGACGCGTGCGCTGCCATATTTGCAACACTATTGCTTATCACAACGCATGCTGTATCGCAATACTGTTAAAAAGTCTGGTTATATCTCATGATAAGACTTCAAGTACAAAAAGAGTACGATGACCACCAATTTCTCAGCGAGCTCTCTACTGGTAACCTAGCATGCAAGTAGGTAGTTACGTATATATGTCAGCCGCTCCACACTCACCGCATGTTCAAAGCCTGCGGCCAATCTACTGTTTTTGGTAGAATGCCGATTGTTTAATAATTAAAGGTTGATCTTCGGATTTTAAGAAGACACATCCGCGGATGCCGTAATCGTGGCCAATGTGAAGTGCCTGAGCAAAATTTCGCGTAGCGCTGCTATCAACTATACCCCTACCGAAGAGGAAGGAGCCATACTGTCATCTTAACTGACGTACTCCTTAAAATGGCATGCCGTTGCCCTTTATTCTGGATCGAGATCCGCATTACAACATTCTTTTGCAAGCTCTGTTCAGGGTGCTGGGAACCGTGTTGGACATCTCACCGTTGACTACCTTTAGAAGGAGCCAAACTAAACAATTTAATCTTGTGGCGAAAGATTTTGTCAGAAACACTTGCGCCAAAAGCCCGAGACGCTGAAGCGAAATGCCCTTACCCATTGAGTTGCGCCGAATAACGCAGTACACGCCCAGACATTTTATAATATAATGATTTGGTTGACCCGTGTCCCTTTGTCTCCGATCTTGGCCGGGAAGGGCTGTTTATACGACTCGACTTGCTGATATCAGCTCGTCGGTCGAGTGCACGACGCTTTGGCTTTTTGCATCAGCAACACTCTAACCTACCTCAAAACGACCGCACTCCGAGACTCCAGGATAAAATTATCACGCCACCATCATCAAGATAGATCAGGATTACCAACTACACGAGGGTCGTCCACAAAAAATGTGACGTTACCCTTGTTTACATGGAGCCGTTGTTGGACCGGCGGGTGCAACAGGGCTGTTACCAGTATTTCGTGAATCGAAGGGATACTCTAACTTCGAAACACATGGAGTTCTGTTCGGCAAGATTGCCCTGACGCCGTTGCAGCCTAAAATATGGTACATCCTGGATCTTTATTCCCTAGTTGAGTCGCCTGGCGCAACATGCAATCCCACTAGCGAGTGCGCCTTGAATTTGTTCCGAATCGAGACCACGATAGCTGTCTCACTGAGATGACGGGGCTATAAGCAACAAGACTTGAGGCGATGATTTTCGTCTTGAAGTCCACATCAAGCTTTCATTTTCGAAAGCCAAGTATCAAACGACGCTATTATTGTGTTCGGTGAAGAAAGTATTACATTATCACGGGTTATGTACATGTAGCAATCCCTTAATTTGACATTGATCTCATCATTTCGTCGTGGTCTGCTCATCATACTCAGCCGCCTTTTTATAGAGTAATTATGATCAAGCTGAATTGAAGATGCCAAAATTAGTCGGTTAACCCGCTACGTTTCACTCTCATATGCTATTTTGGTGCATTAATAAATTACACAATCGGTACACAAGTATCCTCCATCGAGATTTAATCCAGTCCATAGCTTAAAGATAAAGATGTATCAACGTAGTTTGTTGTTGCGCTCCAAGCTTTTGCAATTCAATTAGCCGCACGTTAGTAAGCGACAAAGCCTTTGCATCCTGGTATACGTGAATTAAAGCTAGAAAGTCCGTTAAGAAACGGATGTATGCACCTTTGCAACGTAGTCTGCAGCACTCTCTAACCGACCTGTCCTTTCATAGCGCATCTTTAAAATAAGTACTTTTAGGTTCAACCTCCTCCTATGCTCCGCTATATAACTCTTATCTGTCATGCTTATCAAGTACCGTGCAAAAAAAAAGCATCTCGGGTGGTTTTGCTGAGCCCGCACCGGCTGAGCTGCGCACTGATGGTACCTGGTCACTCGCACACTCGCACTCGCCACGCTTCTATTAAAAACTGATCCTTGATCGATCGTCACACTCAAGTGCATCATGTGGTTCCGATTCAGTACCCTGCACACGCGTAGGCTGCTATTATCATCAACCTGTGGCCGCTTGCGCTCGTCTTTGGGTACATTGCGCGTCTTCATGTCAGCACGCGCGACACTACAAGTTGCAGCAGGACCTACTACACCAGTAAGCGATGCACTTGGTGCTGGAAGCAGCTTTACACATGCCGGTTACAGCCACAGTCTATGGCCTGTTGGGCTGACTCCATCGTCTAACGAACAACAAGCCACTTGCTCAGACTTCTTGCCCATGGTACCATCTGAGTGTCTCCACGTGCGACAGACTTCACAGAGTGAGGGTCGAAGTGCAACAGTAGGGCCTTCCTCTTTTACCACAATGTTCCGAGACATGTCGCCATACATAAACGTTCACCGTGGCACCACTATGGTCATCCATCTACCAGGACAGCTTGTCGAATCTAATCTTTTTGGCGCCGTCATGCATGATATCGCTTTGCTAAATACATTTGGGGTGAAAATCGTTTTAGTTGCGGGTTCAAGGCCGCAATTGAATCGACAATTATCCTTACGAAAGCTGTCACAACGATTTGATTGTGGAATGCGCATAACTGGACCCATGGAGCTTCAATGTGCAATGGACGCAGCTGGATCGGTACGTTTCCAAATAGAAAGTTATCTTGGTCGAGGAATTGTCAACTCGCCTGGACGTGCTAGAACGATCAATATTTCATCTGGCAATTTTATCACTGCACAACCTGTGGGTGTTCGAGGAGGCGTTGATTTTAAAAATACAGGCGAAATGCGACGGCTCAATGTTGATAAAGTGCGGACTGCGTTGGATGATGGCGATATTGTTCTTATCTCGAGCATTGGATATAGTGCTAGTGGTGAGGTTTTCAATTGCCTATCGGAACAAGTGGCGAGCAAGTGCGCGATTCAGCTAGAAAGTGCCAAACTTATTTTTATGCACAATGGAGAAGAACTTATTGATTCGCGATCGAACTCGGTCGTACAGACCCTGGTGATTGATCAAGCACAGCAATATGTGGAGCTAGCCCAACAGAATCCTGAAGTTAGCGGAGACTATTTGCTCTATTTAAAGGAATCGATCAAAGCTTGTATTAATGGAGTGAAACGCTCACATCTTGTCAGCCGACATGTGGACGGCGGTTTGTTGCAGGAATTATTTACACGTGATGGTGGTGGTCTCATGATTACAAAGCATATGTACGAAGGAATTCGCACGGCGACGACGAATGACATCGTGAGCATCATGCGTCTTATCCAGCCATTGCTGGACGACGATGTACTCGTCTCACGTGATCAGGAGCAGATTGAAAGTAATGTTGATACTTTTGTCGTAGTAGAGCGTGACGGTGCTATTATCGCTTGTTGCACCCTGCAGCCGTATGAAAACAAATTTGCCGAGATGGGCTGCGTAGCCGTTGATCCAGCGTACCGGAATCTTGGCAAAGGTAATGCGATGCTAGGCTACATTATGCGTAAGGCATCGGCCATGGGAGTCACGAAGCTGTTTGTGCTGACGACGCGAACAGCACATTGGTTCTTAGAGCGCGGCTTTGTTGAGGCGACAGTACATGACTTGCCACCGTCAAAGCTTGCCAAGATCGATCTGAAGCGTAAGTCAAAAGTCTACATTTGTGACATTAGTACAGATAGAGCTCTGGATGAAAAAGAACTGTTGCTTCAAATGGAATGAGTTTTTGCTATATGAAATGATCGATCGAGTTTTGACACTATGAAGAAATAAGACGGCTTAAGATTGAGATTTGCTTGCCATTCAAACGTACAGCGATGCTTCTCAAATCTGAATTGTTAAATTTTCTTATTGGTGACGTTTTATTATCCTAACGGACGTTAATTGGCAAGAGTGTCACGTGTTTGACAGGCAAATCCCGTATATCCTTGGAAACAGATGCAAGTGCCTGCTTTGTAGTCGCAAACCCCGCGATTGGAGCACTCAACAAGACATTTATTCCCAGGAAGACCGACAGCATTACCTCCTGGCACCGTTTTACCCTGACAATCTGTTTCATCTACAGCCGTGTCAGGGTCGTCGCCAATGGGGCAGTGCCCTGTTTCAGGCGCACAAGTATGTCAACACTTTATTATGTGGATGATACTGATTGATATACTTACGATTTGAGCAGTCAGCCCCAAAGTATTCTGTAGCTTGCAGTTCACCACTCGCCGTCCCGACAGCCCAACTCGAATCACAAACGCATCCATAAATTCTGTCGGAATCCCAGCTGCTAGAGAACTGCATAAAGAGTGATTAATTGCTTAGAGTAATATCGCGACAAAGCTCCTGACAGGGGACGTACGGGATCGTTGTCGTACGTTGTTGGCGAAGAAATTGGATTGGCATTTTTAGCGGCCGCCATATCGCGCATGCTAAGGCAAGTTCCTCGGTGAGAGCAGTCGTTTGGACATCCCACTATCATACACCAGCAACAATACATTAGCTCGAATCATGCATACGAAGCCTTTCGGATGTATACTTCTTTCACACGCGGATCCTTCGAAACCGGGAAAGCACGTGCACGTGCCAGCACGCCGATCACAAATGCCCATGCCGGAGCACTCAACGAGGATATCATGAGCTACCGTGGTGCCCGAAGGTATGGAACTCCAAGCATAATTTGACGGGCAAACACCTACGTGTAATTTGAATAATATTGTACATCACACGTGATAGCAGGTTACTCACGGGTCGAACAGTCTGGTGACTTGTAGTCTGCTACGTCCGTTGGCGCACTCCAGCCCGTTTCGCAAATGCAAGTCTTTGAAAGCAAGGTGCACGTGCCATGACCATTGCAGTCATTCAAGTACAGGCACCCCTCTCCACCTATAAAGTTGCTCTCTTCAATCGTATTGCCTGCTGCGTCTTGAGTGCGAATGGCAAAAGTTCCGACAGCGTGATTCGAAGGTGTTGTAATTTTGTTAACTGTAAATGAAATTCCAGTGGTTGCTGCGATGTTTGCATCTGCAATCTGTAACTTGACTGACCTTGATGTGGACGATACAACGCTGGAAGTGACAGGAATATTGATTAAAGAGCTCGCCGTGATTGTACCAACGCCAACACTATAATCGCTCGGAAACTCCACTTCAATATAGCCGCCTAAAGGAGTTATCGTCGCAGTGTCAAGCGTCACAGTTGCTGTTGTAAGGGTGTTTGGGGTCTTTAGAAATGGACGTATACGGCCATACAAAAGTGGTTTCTTGACAATCGGTGTACCTGTAATTGTGGTCGAGGCTTCAAATACGTTGCCACCACTGTCGCGAATGCTCAATGTGTACGATTCCCATGTTGCCAGGCAGTATTCTACAATGAATTGATCGCAAGAAGTACCGGGATTTATAATATTTTCGAGCGAAATTGTGCGTCCAACTCCAGGCATCACAGTATTCCCTAGTGTGATTTTTGCAGTATCTGCGCCTGAAAGCGAGAAAAGTGTATTTACTGTGGGTAGATTTAAGGTGTAGCTCATAGTAGTGCCGCTAATTTCGAAGCGAGATGGAAACGTCACCTCCACTCGACTTCCAGAAGGCAAATAGGCAAGATTGGCAAATACAACGTTGTAAGTCGTCGCAACGCCAGCCCAATGCGATACAGGAGTTATCGTCGCTGATGGAAGGGTGGTGCTTGTAAAGCTCAGAGTGTTTGTTGCAGAACTGACTTGGAAAATGGCTCCAGTCTGATATCGCGTATCAACGTAGAAAGGTGGTATTGATCGAGCTGCTGCGTTGATTATATTGCTGTAAGTAATCGAAACAGTGTCACCTGCAGCAATGTCTTGACCAGCAATTGCTAGAATCAAATACGGAGATGAAACTCGCAACTCTGTCGAAGCTGCATCGATGCCTACCAACCCGGCAAGAGTTGCACCCGTGATATCGATCGTGCTATCGCTGAGAACAGGAAATTTGATTCCAACTTCGCTTCCAACACGTAGCACGATATCAGTTGTCCATGTCACCGTGTACGATGTTTTCCTGCCAGCAAGTTGTGAAGCGGCGGTCACCGTTGCAGCGTGGGACATGGTCCATGAACTGAATGTGGAGCCGACCACTGGAGTTGACTCGAGGATCGTTCCGCTAGCACTTTTGGTACGAATCCAGTAGTTTGATGACAGACCCAAACCTTGGAGTAGTATCTCATCAGAGTTGCTGCCTTTTATACCAAACTTATTGGATGCAATGGTGTCATACCTGGATTTGAAATACTGTCAAGTGTGAAGGAGACACCTCCAGCTAAAGCATCCGTCGTTGCAATTGTAATTATTACCATACCAGTAGCAGTTGTCACTGCTAGTGTACTGGATGGATCGAAGCCCATTGGATTTGAAAGCACAGACGAAGAGTCCACGTGGAACGTGGTGGGAAATACCACCTCGATCACCCCACCAACTGGAATAGTAGTATCCATTGTGAAGGCCACATCCACTGTACCCGTGACACCAGCATCTAAAGACGCTGGGGTAATAGAAACAAACGTAAGGGCTGCATCTGCTAATTGTTGGCACAGTAGGAATAGGAGGAACCACATTAATGCAACCCTTCAAGATCGGAGATTTACAATTTTTTGCCAAATATAAATTTGCGCACAATCTATAAAAATAAAAATACCAAATCCTTACTACAGAATCAAAAATTACAACATAGGCTTCCCCTCGATATCCTTATTAACAATTTAGATCAAGGGACCTAATATAAGGAATTCTCGAAATTTACTTTGATAAATATTGAATTCCACTACTTGAAAAATATGTGGTGTCGACTTCTTGTGAGATGCAGACCAGCAGCTCATTCATCACGAGTCTTACTTCAGTCACTATCGTCCCAAACACCTTGTCTCGCATGCACAGCCAATTCCAGTTCGTATGTATTGCGCTCGGCAAGCATCTCGTCCACACACCACTGCTTTTCCACTCAAAGAGACGATTCACCAGTGACTGAGGCAACTACAATTTCCAGTGTTCCAGGTGTTGAAAGCCCAGGTGATAAATTTGTCATGGTTTACACATGTAGCGTATGCGAGACGCGGTCAGCCAAGACTATCAGTAAACATGCTTACTACAAGGGTGTTGTATTGGTACGTTGCCCTGGCTGCGAAAATCTACATCTCATTGCCGATCGATTGGGCTGGTTTGAGGATGATGCGACGGATGTAGAGAGTTTACTGAAGCAAAAAGGTAAAAGAGTTCGCTTCATTACGGAAAAAGATGTGCTCGAGCTCACAGAAAACGACATTCTTGGAACCAAAAACGAGAATTAGTTATTTTTTACAATAAAATAGATGGTCTTGTCTGGCAGTAAGTATGAACCTGATTGTGGTTACATATTTTTTGTCTATGCTGAATCAGTTCTTTTCAGTGAGATGCTGGAGCCACACCCGCCGACCCTCACCACGGAACATGACCTGCTCGTGTGTATTCACTTGTACAGAAGGGTTTGCTGATGCGAGCTTAGTTGTCTTGGCCAGACGCGTTGGGTCAATTGTATGATTCTCTATGTGGTGCAAACGTTTCTTGCTTTGATTTTTGTGCCGGATCATGTGCTCTGTCAAACTGTCTTCCTTCCCATACACTCGTGAACAAACAGGACATTTATACCACGTCTTGCCATTTTTTATTTCGACAATAGCCTGAATTTGATCAGGCAGCACCATAGGAGTCAAGCTAGTGGCGCTTCTGGCCTTTGCCTTGTCCTCTTCCGACTTTCCTGCGCATTTGTGAAATTGCATACCGCGACGTGCATTAAATTTCATATTACACAAAAAACACGTAAACGGATGCAGTTTCGTCTCATCCACAGCTTTGTTCGGAAGTAACGCTAGATTGGCAATTCCCGCTTGCTTATTATGCCCAATTCGAATGCCATTTTGTGCCGAGTACATTTCTTTGCTCGTTTCCATGTACGCAGCAATCACACAGCCAGCCACCATCGCATCAAATTGATGCACATGTTCACGAACGTCACGAAATTCGGCAAACATTTTCTTTGCGCGACTTCCCACAATTTCGTGTAAATCCAAGTTACTCATCGTATGATCAATCAAACGACATGCTTTTTGTTTCATCTAAAAACGATGCCATTTTCATCAAAAGAGCCGCTTGTACGTGTAAATAAGGACTTTTACCGTACCTGGTCCTTGTAACCAATACGCGTCCTTCGTTCATCCTTTCCCATTTGACTAAGGTTCATTTCGACAAATTCAGCCGCGCGTCTCAAGTTTCCAGCCATTTCACCATCCTAGATCAAATCAGCACACGTAAATATGTGCTTTTTAGTGTGCAAATTTAGCGTATTCTCTGATCTACCTGCGAAATGAGAGTCCGCAAGTTATGCCCAGTCGAAAACAACTTGTTTGGTGCAGGTCCGTGATGTGACTTGTCTTCTTCGCCTTCGAATTTCCGGTACGCACTACCTTCGTGTACAATATGATCCTGAACAACGGTACCACAACCATTGCCATCTAAACCATTACAGATTGTGTCTCCGCGTGCATAGTCTGTTATAAAGTTGTTCTGTTCGGTATTACCGCAAGTCTCACATCGGAATCGTGGTGCTGTTTGAATCCGAAACACCACACAATGACAAGACACGCCACCACTATTTAATACACCCGGCACTTCATATCATGACAGGAAATTAACCCATGTATCACCTGTCTTTTGCTCTGCGTCCAGCTCTGAGAATTCGTCGGCATCTGACTTGCCCGCTTGTCTCATCTTACGAATGAGCAGCATGACATCATTCACCTTTAGCTCAGGTACAAGCAGATTTACTATGCGTTCCTCCATTGGCAAGGCTGGCTCGTCAGCTAGTCTTGTAGCTCTTGCAGCTGCAGCGCGAGCTGCTGCCTCCTTCTTTGCTGCTTTTTTGGCTTCTTCCGCCTTCTTATTCCTATCAATCTGAGCAGCATGTCATGTTTACATTAAATTACATATTTCAAACGCCCGAAGACAACTACATACCATGACGAGCGGCTCATCGTCCACCGATAGGCGATCGCTGGTCGCAGCGGCTTCGAAACCCGCGAACACATCCTCGGCCACACCATTATCTAAAGCCGCAAAAAAATCGTCGGCACCGGCGTCAAGGTCCATCACTGCTGTTTGATACTTGTGAGTCGAAAGTGTCTAAGCGAGTGAGGGGTCAAGAAGTAGCGCGTTGGAGGACGACACTTGACTACGAAGGAGCTTGACACTAAAACAAGGGAGTCCAGTTTATGACTCGTGCCGTCTTTTTAGGGCTCAAAAATTGTACCTATTTCAGTAGAATATATTAGCGCACTTTGTATGCAGTTACAAATTTGAAATTGGTCGAATTGTTAGAATCTTTCCTCGAACGTACGGTGTAGCCACACCACTGAGTGATGACACGAACTTGTGTAACACACACCTATGTACGGTCGCCAAGCCCTTCCTTACAAGAAGGTGTAACCCCGTTACACTCTCCTCCATTAAAATTGTGAATATCCCAATTCACATTTAACCGTCGCCTCATACGAACCTCGCGTGTCTGAGACACCTTAACGTTATCTAGATACAACTTTCTCCGCTCTATGAGCACTGTGTATACGACATACAAGACACCCAGTCTAGCTTTTAGCGAGGGCGCCCGCGGGCAAAGCCCTTCTTCTTCTGCTTCTGCACAGGGTGCATCACCGGACAGTACGTCCGCGGCTTCATGGGAAGCACATCCCAAGCCCTCGGTAACTGGGCGCAACACAACACGCCCGCCTGGGCGACGGATCTTTCCGTCGGGGAGTTGGAGAAGGTCGTCTA